CAAGACTTTAATACGGTGTTCACACAACATCCAAATCACATAGCATCCTATTTCACAGAATGTGTTGTGGACATTAAGCAATGTATACTTTTGTACATAGTCTCCTTGGCAGTGTTTGGCAGATTCTGAAATTCTAATTTTTGGCCGATCAAAGGCCTTTTTAATTTGTGAAAAATATTCACTAAATTCAGGGTTTCACAGTTTGGCAAATTTAATTCTTATTAATTACCTCTTTCTATAACACCAGAAGATTGGATATGATAAGGGCAATGTAGCCTCTGAAAATAGGAAAAATTTGACATATCTCTTGAATAATTTGTCCAGTGAAATGAGTTCTTCTGTAGCTACCGAGGCTCTCTGGTGCTCTCCAAATGAGAATGATATTTTCAGGAAGTTTCTTGGCTATAAAGGTTGCACTTGCATGATGGCAAGGGAAAGCCTTTACCCATTATGAACACTTACAGATTGTCACTAATACATATTTGCTGCCATTTGAAGGTGGGAGCTGGATAAAATCCAGTTGTCACTCCAGCATACGCCCAGAAGGCAAAGGGTGTTTTCCAGGTGGGATCTTAAAATGTGAAAGCAAATGGAGCAATGGGAAGTGACATGGTTGACAGCTTCAAAAAATTGTCCTCACCAATATTTCTTTAAAATTTTCATTATTTTATCTTGTCCTATGTGGAATCCTTCATGTAAGGTCCACGTCACAGAAAAAAATGTGACAGTTTGCATAGGACAGGCTTTTGCTTTAGTCCTATTATAGATTGAATTTTGTCCCCCAAAACTAGGCCTGATTCTTAGTATTATGTAATTATCCTCCATGTTATGATCTGATGTAATTATCCTAAGTATTGTAAATCCTAACCTCTAGGGTGTAATGAGTCAGGACTGGAGGTACTTATATTAATGAAGCAGGATGAAATCTACAGGATTAGGCTGTATCTTGAGTAAATTTATTTTGAGATATAAAAGAGATTAAACAAGAAAGGAGAGATCAGAGGTACTTGCTTCCACCAAGACAGAAGAGCCAGGAGCAGAGCATATCCTTTGGATCCAGGGTCCCTGTGTTGGGAACCTCTGAGACCTAGAGAAAGATTGATGCCAAGACACACAGAGATCTCCAAGAAATGCCAGGCCCAAAGATATTGAAAAGAAACACAGACCTTCCCTTAGAGCTGGCACCCTGCAACTTTGAATTAAAGGCAATTTTGGTTCCCCCTTTGGTAAGCATCAAGCTGGAAGGTACTGCAAAGATTTTGGTCAAACGTACCCTATGATTATATTTTCATCTTTCTATTGTTTACAACTTTGAATTTTCATAGCATCCAGAAGTTGCTTAGCTTTGGTTCTTGTTTCATGTAGTCATTCAAAGCCAGATGTGGTTGCTTTTATAGCTAAAGATTTGTCTGGTCTTTCCAATGAGCCTCTTTCATCCAAAATTGACCCTCTCCTGGTCCAACTAACATAGGTATTAATTAATGTAAATCAGGAAATCCTGGCTTATAGGTTTCTGTTGGAATTTAAAATTGCTCTTTGAATTTCTGAGGATCTTCATGATGGTTAAGAAATTCCTCTGTGATTGCACAACGTACCAATTTAGACCAAAGGGAGAAAGTAACCGGTGAAGGTTCATTAACTCCCACTAGTGGCTTTATATTCAAAGGGATCTCATAACAAATGATCATTTGTGAGGGAACAAAAAGGCAGTGTTGGCACAGGGAGATAGCTTGCGGGGCAGGAATGAATAAGAAAGAAGGACATAGGGAAGAGGTAACAAACAACAGGGAGGAAGTGGGAAGAGAGCTGTTACATTGTGGGGAATAGCAGTCAATGTTATGACACAAAATGTGTATGAAGTGCTGTATGGGAAATGAATTTACTCTGTAAACTTTCATCCAAATCACACACACACACACACACACACAAAGGCATATTATATAGGGGTTTAGAAACTGGAGTTTCAGACAGGATGTTCGATTTGTTTTGCTACTTCAGATAAAAGATTTTCATTTGGCTTTTCAGGGAAGAAAGGAAATTAAGACAGAGTATTTGCAAGATGGTAAAGAAGGTATAAAGGAGAGACAGCCAAAAAAGGAGCAGATGACACCAGAGCAACAGAGTCAGCTAGAATGGAAATCTGGCATTGCAATTCATTATTTTGTTAACTCAGAAACAGTTTCTCTGCAGGGAATCAATTTTGCTATCTTGATGATTCTTAGAAACTTCTAGTTACCAGTCAAAATAAGTGTCCCATTGGGATTATTTAATTCAGGAGCCTTTGTGTATTTTCTAATTTATTTTACAGAAAAGCTAATTTAGTTAAATCTTAAGTGGCCACTGATTTCCCAAGGTTATCTTCAGTAAAGGCATGCCAACCAAAGAAAAACGTTCAGATTATAGGACCAAGGTGCTTGTTCATGTAGTGGGCAGGAGTCCCAGAGGGAGGTTCCAAGTTGTTCTTAGAGTTGGCATTCCTCATTTCAAAAAGATAGTAAAACTTACTTGCAGTAATAAAACAAATATTTTAATAAAACCTGAAGAGCTACTAGACAGTGGAACAGAACTTGGGTTCAAGAGGTTATTTACCTTAAGATGACTCCCAAGGTTCTGTGGAGATGGAGACCCTAAACAGCTTGGCTGGTACCTGAGCCCAAATCCTCGATACCTTGGGAGTTGTTGAAGGGAATGCACTTTTGAAATCCCACTCTGACACCAAATGTGTAAAAGAAGAAAATCCAGCACTCTGTTAGAAGTAAAAAGCAGAGAGTTTTATTGAGGAATAGCAGTTCAAACCAGGTAGCACAAAGTGAAATTACAATGTGCGCCAATCAGTTAGATTTTTGGGGATGTTTTTATATAGAAATATCAGGAACAAACAGGCAATTTTCTGATTGGTTGACATTTACATGGCTTTGTCTGATTAGTTACAAGGTTATTATGAGACCTCAGAAGCTTCAGTTGAAAAATCATAAAACAATTCAATGTAACTTGTTTTCGACAAAGTGGTTAATCTTCAGACATCTTAGAACCAGCTTGCAGAAAATCACATGTAAGAAATTTTCCAAGATCATTTTACATAGGTGTTTTGTCATGAGCTTCCTGGAATATTATGATTGCAATCTTAATCAAATATTTTCCAAGAGTAGTCACATTCTTTAGTACTCCCTCCTTTGGTTTCTCTAGGCAGACTTTTTAGTGAAAGTTCATTCCAAATGCCTCTGTATTTATGGCCTGCTAACACATGCCCTAAAGATAAATACAAAGTAGAATCAAGAAAGAAAAAAAGAGAGGAAGGGAGAGAAGCTTCCGTTTCCTGTTACATTAAGAAAGACAAAGCTGATTAGTTATATGGGGTAGGGACAAAGACATGAGTTTTTGCTGTTCCTCATTCAGAACTTCAAATAAGCACTAATTTTTCATTGGGTGTTTCAAATTCCAGAATCTCTGAGATCTTAAATAGGGGAAGGATGGCATGTTTCTCTGATGTTTTCACTTCTGTCTCCAAACTTCAGCTTCTAATTCCAAAACATATTCCGAATCTGCCATTTTTGTGCATTTTCAATATAATGCTTAAGTCTAATTAACCATCAACTCTCACTGGTATTATTTTTATGCCTGAACTGCTTCCCCACCTGCACACAATTTTCACCAAACAACTAGGCTGATTATTTAAATATATAAATGACATCATGTTCACTGCTCTTTTAAAATCTAAATCCCTCCTCATTTCAAGTTGAAAAAAGTAAAATTAAAATTCTTGACATGACCTATGACACCATACATGCCCTAGCTCTTGACTGCCTCTCTCCTTCTCTACGCCCAGATACAAATGAGCTTCTTTTCTATTTCTTGGAAAAACAAAAATACCAACTTCTGAATTAGGTTAACTGCATTTGTAGTTTCCTCCAAGTGAAAGGCTATGTTCTGGAACTCCCTATCTTATCAGGTCTTACAAAAGTCTCTTGCTCTGAGTCTTCTCTGACCACCTTCTCTAGGCCCATCCCTGACAATCCTGCTTTATTATGTCATCCCACTTTACTTTGTTCCCAAGGCATATTACTAATTGAAATGATCTTGTTCCTTTATTTGTGGACTTGTTTATTGGGCTGAATCAATCAATTAACGATGAGAAATACATAGCTTTGAAATGGCAGTGAGTGGAGACCTAGAGAGAGAATAGTCCGAGAACGGCACTTTTTTCATATGCTTGTTCATCCTTCTCAGCAACTTACCCATTCTGGTTCCTAGCCTAGCACCAGGTCAACTCCACCTAGTTATTCTCAAGGTGCAGATGCAAACCAAATCACCCACCCAGTCAGCCAAAACACAACCATGGCCCAAATTCACTGACAACCAGCATATAATGTAACCAGCCTATAAAAAATAAGTCTTTGCCTTAAATAATTATTAAGAAAAGTGCAGTAAAGAATACTCTCCCTAGTTCTTTGAAACTATAATTTCAGAAATAAAGTCAGATTTTATCATTTTAGTTACCTTTAATATATATGTGAAGAAACACTGATGATGACACATTTTAAACACATCAGTAACTCAGGAAAGTCAAAATTTTTCTGAGGCTCTATTGACCAAATTGATCAAAGGGGCCCAGGTTCAGCAAGGAAAATGCTAGGAGAAAGAGGAAGAGAAGACAGAGTGAGAGTAAAGGGGATCCCAAGCCCAGGATTCAGAAGTGCAGCAGGGTCCAGAGATGGTATAGAAGATCAGGTTCCAGCAACCTCAGTGGTAATCAGTCCTCAGGGACACAGTAGATGCAACCTCAGCTAGTGGTACATAAGTAAGCAGTGTCCAAAGGCCAGAGGAGGCAGAACATGGTATGGTGGACTTGGTAAATATTATGGGCTCGGCAGGATCCAGGGGCATCCCTGGAAGAGCTCTGTCATGCACAATCAGTGTCTTGCAAACTCAGAGTCCCACAGTTTCGAGATGTAAATGTCTCAGCAATCCTCCCCACAGAAGAGCAGTGGTGGCCCCTGTGGCTAGTGGAGTGGGGCACAACAGCACCCAGAAGCTTTTGCAGGTCGCTGGGGTTCAGAACTCAGAGGTGCAGCACTGTCCATCAAAGGTCCATCCCCAGACAGGGGTTGAGCCTCAGACCCCGGAGCTGTGCATGCTGCGCCCACTGAGAAGCGCCTCTTGGCTGGGCCCTGGATTGTCTGCTCCCGAGGACGACGACCACGACCCCTTCTGCCAGGTGAAGGCTGGATGTGCGGGGCAGGTGGACCCGGAGTCAGCAGCGGGGTCAAGCTGGGATCTGAGGAACTGCGGGCGATGACAGAGGCTGCAACCTCAGGGTGCACAGCAGCGCCGCAGGCCCTAGAGGGGCGCTTGCAGGCAGGGCGCACAAAGGGGCAGACCTGGGGACCATCCCCAGAGGCCAGAGGGCGAGTAGGGCGTGGGGACCGGCGGGGCGGGAGGTTCCGCAGGCCTCGCGAGGCTCTCGTAGGTGCCCGGGCCTCCCTCCAGGCGGTCAGCTCCTGGCTGGCCAGGGCTGTGGCCTCTGTGTGGTCCACAACTGCCCGGTCCTGCCCCTGTTTCCACAGCTCATAACGCTCAGGTTGCAGAATGCGCACAAAAGCGTCCATGGAAAACGTGACCCTGGACTCCCCGCAGCTGCACTGAGATGCCACTTTGCCATAATCAACCCAGCGCGGGGTGGCGAAATTGATGGCTTCCGCACAGTTGAAGCCATGATTGAAGCCAGCGTGGTAGCCATAAGGGAATGTCACCATGAACTCACCAGCCTCCTGGGTGATCCGACGGAAAGGAATGCCATTCTCCCTGAGGACAGTGGGTGAGATGAGAGCCACCTTATGCCGCAGGAAGGCCTCACAGCCCCGCGAACTGCCAGGAAAAAGCTCTCTGGCCAGGCGTTCCAGGCGTTGGCCGTGCTCCGGGGGCACCGCGTACCACGTTTTGGGCTCCCCGAAGTGCAGGTAGTTGATGCTGTAGAGGTCCATGTCCTCCGTGTGCCAAGCGAAGGTGGTCTTCCACATGCCGAAGTACAGGTAGGGTGTGTTGACGCCTTCGATGACCACTCCACACTCCTGCTCCAGTAGGTCCTGAATTGTCCCCAGGTTGCCGAGGTTCCAGTGTTCAGTGTTTTCATCAAATAAGGAACCGCTGACGTCAGCCCCATAAATCGGGGAATCGTAGAGGCGGTGTTTCCAATACTTTCGCTCCAAATCTTGAAAATCCAGGTGTGGTGGAGTGCGGTATTTGTCACTGTTAGCCAAGTGGCGATACTCCCCCACAGTCATGGCTTTCTTCTTTTTATGGTATTGCGTAAACACACCTGCTCTCCCAGAGACCACCTGTTGCAGAGGAGTGGCTATTAGGATGTCACTGATATCATCGTAGGTCTGTCTGGCTTTCCATTCCTTGGGTGGAATTATTTTAGCCAGGCCTGCTCGGTGTGCACCTTGGGATTCCATGTAAGCAATGTATTTATCGAAATCATTAAACTCTTCTTTGGTTGGATGAAATATCATTATGTTACAAGTTGGGTTCTGAGCACAGTTGGCCTTAGACTTCATAGTTTCAAGTTAATAAGCAGCCACTTCCTAAGTTTTAAAGTATGTTTTAGATAGTTGAGGATAGTGGAAAATGCTATTTTTTAAAAAAGGGGGGCAGGGAGCTTGGTATATTTGTGAGGCAGCAGGAACCACCAGCAAACTTTTGAACAAATGAGATGATAGTCTTTCCTGGGTTTGCTGATTCAACAAAAGGAGTCCACTCTGGAGAGCAGCTCTTGCCTGGGTACTGATGATGGCTGAGCCTGCAACTCTGTGATGTTCCTCAGTTGGTGGCTGATTGTCCTCTTGAGGCTATCGAATCAGCCAGACCTGGGTAATTCAACTGTAACAGAGTGTATCTTCAAGATAATGTTTAAAACTAAACCTAAAAGAAAGAATACAGAGAGGTTCAAAATTAACGTTTAAAAAGTTATTATGGAGCTACAAATTAAATACCACAGTGGAACACTACTCACACTCAACAGAATGGCTAAAATTTTAAAAGATTGACAATACAAGTGATGGCGAAATGTGGAACAATGGAAATTCTCAAACTCGACTAGAGGGAATGTGAATCACTACAATCACATTGGAAAACCACGTTGGCACCATCTACTAAAATTGAACATATGATGCATATGCTATGATCTAACTGTTTCACATGCCTAGGACATGTGTACACATGTGCCCTGAAAGTCATGTCCAAGAAAGTTAATAACAACATTATTTCAATAGTCAAATACTGGAAACAGCCCTAATGTCCATAAATAGTAAAACTGATAAGTACATTGTGGTATAGTCATTAAAATAGAATACTATACAGCCAAGAAAATAAATAAACAAAAGCTACATGCAAACACAGGAATAAATTTTATAAACATTGAGCAAAATTATCCAGACTCAAAATATTTATAACATAAATTCATTTATATGTTGATCAAAAGGAAGATGAATAATCTATGTTAGCAGTCTTTGGGAAAGAGGGAGGTTATTATGAGTGGGGACACAGATGGAGTCTCTGGAGTAATCCTGATATTCTTTATGAACCTAGGTACTTGTGACAAACCTATCAGAATGTCTAATGTGATAATTTATCAAACTACTATGATTTTCACTAGTTTTTTATTTTATTTTTTAATGGGGAAAAAAAGGAATTTATAGTGAAAAACATTAAGAATCCTAAGAGGGATATTTCACTGTATTAAAAAGAAGAGCCTTTCTTTAGAAGGAAGACTGGGCAATCCACTTCCATAGAGATGTTGTTAGTGTTGTAATATGTCATAGAGTCGATTTCAACTCATAGCGACCCCTCCTTGGGTTTCCAAGGCAGTATCACTACAGAAGTAGATTGACCCATCTTCTTTCCGAGGAGTGGCTGGTGGATTTGAACCTCCAGCCTTCTGGTTAGCAGTCAAATGCCTTTGGCACTACACCACCAGAGATCCTGGTCCATAGAGATACGGCCTTGGAAATATAAGGAGGGGTTGCTATGTGAGCTAAACATTCACTGAACAACAACAACAAAAAAAACCCAAACCTATTACTAGGGAGTCCGTTCTGACTCATGGGAACTACATGTTTTACAGATTAGGACTGCTCCGTAGAGTTTTCTTGGCTGAAATCTTTATCGAAGTAGATCACCAGGCCTTTCTTCCCTAGTGCTACTGGATGGGTTCAAATGACCAAACTTTAGGTTAGCAGCCAGTTGCAACTTGCTTCCATCACCCAAGGAGGACATTTATTCAAGAAACTAGTAAATAAAAGAAGAGTAAGAAGGAAGTAAAGAAAAAGAATAAAAATGAAGTTAATGAAAGATAATACACACAAAACAGAGGAATGATGACCAAAAACATTCTTTGAAAAGACTAATAAAAGTAACAAATCATGGACATAACTGATCTTAAAACAAAAGGTAAAAATAAACAATACTAGGAATGAAATAATGTACAAAGTAGAGATTTTTAAAATCTCAAAAGAAAATCGTATGAGTAACTTGATGTTACAGACTGAATTGTGTCCCCCCAAAATACATGCTGTAAATTCTAATCCCTACACCTGTGGTTATAATCCCATTTGGTAATGTCTTTGTTCAATTTGTCTTTGTTAAATTAATGAGGCAGGATAAGGATAAGGTGTCAATTTCTTTTGAGATACAAAAGAGATTAAATAATCAAGGAGAAGCAGAGAAGGAGGGGGTGGGAGGCCAAACCACATGAAGATCACTCAGGAGTGGAAGCTAAAAGAGACAAGCCTTCCTCTAGAACAGGCACCCTGAATTTGGACTTCTAGCCTCTGGTAGCATAGTGCCTGAGGCACTTGACTGCTAACCAGAAGGCTAGTGGTTCAAACCCACCAGCCACTCCTCAGAAGAAAGGTTGGGCAAACCTACTTCTGTAGTGATACCGCCTTGGAAACCCAAGGAGGGGTCGCTATGAGTTGGGGCTGACTCAACGGCACATAACAACAATAGCCTCCCAAACTAGGAGCTCTGGTGGCATAGTGCCTAAGGCATTTGACTCTTAACCAGAAGGCTGGTGGTTCAAACCCCCCAGCCACTGCTTGGAAGGAAGGTTGGGCAATCTACTTCTGTAGTGATACTGCCTTGGAAACCCAAGGTGGGGTTGCTATGAGTCAGATCTGACTTGATGGCAGTGAGTTTGGTTTTTGGTTTCTTGAGCCTCCTAAACTATGAGAAAATAAATTTTATTAAAGCCATGCACTTTTACTATTCTTGTTATAGCATCACTAGATAACTAAGACACTTGACATTGTAAATTTTGAAAGTACAAGTGAAAAAAAAAATTTTCTAGCGAGGAAAAATATCCAAAATGAGTATCTTAATATAAGAATCTGGTTAAATACATGACCCTAAGACATTGATATATGCCATTTTATAGGTGAGTCTAGCAAATATTTAAGAAACTGTTAACTCTCATTATACAAATTCTTTCAGAATATAGAAAAAGTTGGAAAGCTATTCAGATGATTTATGAAGCTAATCTTATATCTAACAACAAAACCAGAAAAGGGCAACAGAAAATAAAGCTATAAGCCATCTTCAGTGCATAAGCATAGATTTAAACATGAGTAAAATATTATCAAATCAAGTACAGTAATGTATCAAAGAAATAATAAATACATGGTAACCAAACAGAATTTATCCCCAAAATGCAAAGATGATTTAAAATGACATGAGACTTTTATGGAGAAAATTCTAAAACATTCATGAGAAAAATAGAAGATAAAAACAAATAGAGATATAAGCTATATATTAATGATTGTGAAGATGTATACTCATATGTCAGTGTCATCCCTACCCCATATCACCCACCAGTGTATTTTTAAAATGTAATTATAACTCAAATATACACAAGGGAACATAATTCTAAAAATTAATATTGAATAGTAAAAAATAAAAATATTGAAGACAATTCTGAAAAAGAATAGAATAAAATACAATGAAGAAACAAGAAGTCTTATCCTATCAGATATTAAATATATTATATCTTATAATAATTAAAGTAGTATGATAATGATGCCTGTCATGGATTGAATTGTGTTCCCAAAAATTATGTATCAATTTAGTTGGGCCATGATTCTTAGTGGTTTGGCAGTTATATAATGATGTAATCATTTCTCATGATGTGATCAGCCAATCAGTTGTAAGGGGATTAGGATGGGATGCATTCATTATCCTTACTCAGGTCATAGCCCGAGTAGAGTAAGGGATATTACCCTGGGGCATGGCCTGCATTACCTTTTCTCTTACAAGAGATAAAAGTACAATTGAACAGAGAAGGAGGGCCCTCAGTACCACCAAGAAAGAAGAGGGGCATAGAGGCATTTGGGATCCCTTTCCTAGACCCAGGGGAAGATTGATGCCAAGACACATGGCAATCTCCAAGGAACATGGGACACAAATGTTGAAAGGAGACAAGGACTTCTCCCTGTAACCCCTGAGACAACAGAGAGAAAACCTTTCCCTAGTGTTGGTGCCCTGAATTTGTACTTCCAGCCTCCTAAACTGTGGAAAATAAATTTTGTTATTTTTTTTTTTAAATAAATGGCTTTATTTGTTAAAGCTATCTACTTGTGATACTTCTGTGATAGCAGCACTAGATAGCCTAAGACAGTGCTCAAAACTAATCAATGGAAATATTTCAGAAACAAGCCTACTTGTAGAGCACTTGCTTTATTGCAGAGGTGATATCCCATATCTGAGGAGGGGAAGTAGATAATTCAAAAATTATGCTGGGACAACTCGTTTTTCACTGAGGAGAAAAAAGAACATTTAGAACTTTCCTTCACCCCATCCTAAATATGTTCTAGATAAATACCCCAAACTGGGAAGAATATGGAAGAATGGTTGTATGGGCTCAGGATGTGGAATGAACTCCATCAATGAAGAATTTCATTTTCATCTTTAGTGTTATTTATTTGATAACAACAATAATTGAGTAAAAATTATAGTTAAATAAAATTCATGCAGCAAATACAGTACATTTTTTTTTTATCAAGTGTTATTTTTGAGTGGTGGGTCTCTTGATGTATGTTATATTTTTAGCTTCTTATCACTGTTTTTCTCTTTTTTCAAACACTCACAGGGATAGAAACACCTCAGAAACTCTACTACCTTCCAGTCCCCAGTGTTCATTGTAACTAATCACAAAATTAAATTTATTTTAGCTGAAAATCTTTAAAATTTTAACAAGAAGAAAACCAAAACCTTCTTTAAACCTTTTTCAAACAAACCTAAAATTCTAGTTTGAAAATTAAAAAAAAAAAAAAAAAAAAAATTTAAACTTAGAACAGTAGTTTTCAACCAGAGGCAGTTTGCCCCCAAGGGACATTTGATAATTTGACATTGGAAGATATGATGGTTGTGTCAACTGAAATAGGTAGGGGCTGTTACCAGCATCTAGTGGCTAGAGACTGAGGATTCTGCTTAAACATCCTACATTGCACAGGACAGCACCCTCCACCCTCATCAAAGAATTATCGGGTACAAACTGTCAATAGTG